AGGGAGAGAGAGAAAGAGAGAGAACAGAAGTAGCAACCAACAACAAAGGCTCCAAATCCCTGTGTGTGTGTGTGTGTGAGAGAGAGAGAGAGAGAGAGAGAGAGAGAGAGAGACAGACAGACACAGACACAGACACAGACACAGACACAGACAGACAGACAGTGACAGTGATTTGCACATCACTGCCCTCCTGTTTTTTCTGGGCAATGACCAAAAATGAACCCCTGGAAGGAGTGTGCACCATCAGCCAATAAAGGATGCTTCTCTTGGTCCCAGGGTTCCTAGGATCCACGCTGTTGGTTCGTGAACACACACGTGTTGACAATGGCCTCCTTGGTGTTTTTCGGGAGATCTCAAGTAACCAATCCTGGGAAAAGAGCCACAGTGCTGTGATGGAGTTGTAGGGGGAGAGGGGCATTATGGGATTGAATATGGTGAGCTCAAGGTTGCCTGTTTCGGGCTGCGTAGAGGAACGCTGTCCTGTGGGCGTCTTCCTCTTACGGAAGGGTCCACGGTCTCAGTAAGAGGGTGGATGGGCAAGGACAACAGCACACCTTGTAAAACACCCTGGGTTCTGACTTAACTGCTTTCTTGGTCAAACAGCATCCGACATGGCTCTCCTGTCTCATGATATCTATGTTTGTGCCCATTTAAATGTGAAATTGAAAGGAACAGGACAGTCCTGGGGGTGCGGGGAGGTTACTTTAAGAAGGAGGATGTGAGGGAGTCGGAGGAAGAGTGCTCACCCTGGCCTTCCATAAGCCCTGGATTCAATCCCCACTACTGATAAAGGAACATTGTATTTTAAGGCCAGGTGCGGTGGTGCATACTTGTAACCCCAGTGCTTGGGAGATGGAGACAGGATGATCAGGAGGGTAATCTCAGTAGCTACACAGTGAGTTTGGGGCTAGCCTTGGCTACATGAGACCCTGTCTCCAAAAAAAAAAAAATTAAATAAATAAAAAAATAAAACCAGGCATGCAAAAAAAGAGAGGGGTGGTGGGTTAGCGGCTAAAAGTGGTTCAGTTGCTACCAAGCATGATGATTTAAGTTCGATTCCTGGTGAAGGAGAAAACTGACTACAAGGCTTCTGACCCGACACAGCTCCCAGTGGGTAAATAAATAATATAACTTTAAAATTTAAAAACAAAAAGGACATGTTAAGCACTGTTCAAAATAGACTTACTAGAGAAACAAGGAAGAAGACAGAGAAGGCTGTGAGAAAGACTCCGCCCTCCGCAGTGACCAGCTGGTCAAGGCAGAGGCCATGCTGAACCCCAAGATCCCAGCCCCATTAACCGACTTTGAAGCTTTGAGGGAGGCCACTACTCACAATGCCTCTGTTTCCCTACTTGTCCCACAGGCAGAGAATCACTCCTCCCCCAAGGCTGGAAGGTCAAAACCCTTTAGGATGCTAAGGGCAGAGGGGAACACGCACACAGAGGAGGCTGCAGCCGGCTCTTTTCTGTTGGCACTGCTGATCTGCTTTCTGTTGATCCACACACAAGCACAGCAGTGTGCGGCCAGCTCAGGCAGCAAGGAAAACACACCACAGGAGTCTTCCGAGTGTGCAGAGCCACGTGCCGATATTGTATCTCCAGCATTAGCCGGGGGCAGAGAATCTACAAAGGGCTCCTTTGTGTATCTCTCTAATCTGCCCAGTGTTTCCTCTTCAAGGACGAAATACAGCTCACTGTGCATTTCGGGTTTTCTTAAAGGAGAGCGGTGTTCCTAGAGTTAGCGGTCCTCACCGTTCATCGGGATGTGCACAGAGGGAAAACCAGGCGCCCCGGGCTCCTCATTGCATAGCTCAGGTAAGGCCACTCCAACCAGTTTCTGGATTCCATTTGTTCTGTTTGGTTTGTGGTACAACACAGGCTGTTGATCTGTATGGGTTTAACCAGAAGGACCAAAAAAATGACTATGTAAATTCATGATTGCTTCTGGGAAACAGGAATACTGGGAGGCTCTAGCCTCTCAACCTCACACTCTACCCAGCTTTGCTGGGCCCCAGCTCCCTGCTGTCCCTAGAGCTGGTTCAGTGGGATAATGTGACCAGCTGTCTCAGCCCTGCCCCCCGGACTTGCAGCCAGGCTAGGTTGTCACCCACAGTTGGCCTTCAGAGGGAGGGATCCTGTGGGCGTGATGAACTAGAACTCCTCCCTCCTTCCTTTCCTCCCTGCATCCTTCTTCCCCCTCCCTTCCTTCTCTCCTTCTGCCTTCTCTGCTAGTCCTGGGGCTCGAACTTAAGGCCTCCTGCACGATGGGTAAGTACTCTACCACTTGAGCTACGACCACAGGACTCTCCTTTGAGGCCCGTCATTTACATTTATTATACAGCGACTTTATTCCTGGGCCTCGTGTTCCTCTGGGATGTCCTTTGCTTCCATGTCACCTCCTCTTCTAGCACAGGAGCAGTCTGTCCTTTTCAGCGAAGATCATCTCAATGGGGCAGCAGTGTCCACATATGAAGGGATGCTGGCCACAGGCTCTGTGAGGATGGGGCACACAGTGGGGGCTTTGTTTGCCTGGGTTTGCTCAGTACTGAAGAGTCTGTAGTAGTTCCAGTGTGTGTCCTGGAGAAAGAGAGAGAGAGAGAGAGAGAGAGAGAGAGAGAGAGAGAGAGAGAGAGAGAGAGAAGAGGAGGAGAGGAGAG